ACTCCCTGTCGCTCATGGAGTTTCAATTTAGCAAAAGAAAAAAAAAAAAAAAAACCTCAGAATCACGTCTGGTTAAATGAAAAGATGAGAGTGATGGCAGACTGGGGTAAATTAAAAACAATGTTGATCTATATTAAAGCATCGAATTACACACGTCAAGACTGAGCACGCAGAAGTCCAAATGAGGGGGAAAGTGCAACGGGCCGACGTGCTCAGGGAGGTAAGGCAGATCGCTCAAACGAAATGAAAAAAAAAAAGTTAGAAGAGATTCTGCATTTAGTTCTTGTTGCTTGAGAAGGGCAAGAGCCTCCCACATGACCCCGCTTCCTGGTTCCTCATTTTTGTCTCCACTTGAGGCCATACCACCTTGGACACACTTGATCTCATCTTAATTTGTTTGCCTAACATGAATTCCTGAGAGCCAAGATGATGTTTACATATGTCCATGTGGATTTGGGTAGTGTCTTGGTTAGATATTCATACAAATGTGGGCCATACAACTAAACGGGGTAATTCAAATGACAGGAAGGAAGGTGCCCAGATCACCCCACAGGTCTTCCCTAGGTCCCCATATTTCTGTGTGGTATTTCTGTTTGGTCGTTTCCTGAGATCCAGGACTCAGTGACACCATGGCTGTCTGTTCTTACTCCTTCGTGTCCATGCAATTGTGAAATTGTATGAGGACACATTTCTTATAATGCATGTCTGTCATTAGGCCACGCAGAATTTTGATTTGTTTCCAGCTCTAGTTTCCTAGAAGCCCTGGGGGAACCCTTATTTTTGGTACACCTCTTACCCACGTGTTCCAGCCTTTCCCCTGCATTGTCTGTCAGTCATACAGTGGACTCTCAACTCAGGTAAGGAGGAGAAGACCAAGGGTGGAAGACGGCAGATGAACACTGGATAGACAGGTGGTACTTGAGGTTAGAACTCCTACCTTTGCTGACTGAGTGAATGGAGGGGTGGTGGAAACCTGTTCACTAAGGACGCTCTTCCTTCAAAATGAGGATGCCAAGTGTAACCCTTCCTGATTCATAGGAAGAGGCCGATAAATGATAGTTTTGCTGTTGCTTACACAATCAAAGGCTCCCTGGACATGAACCAGTCTATTGAGAGGGTTCAGACTCGAGGTACTTCTGGTGAGGTTGTAGGACAGACAGGGGCTGTAAGGATTCTCCAGGACCTCCGCTCGTGGACTGACTGGGTACCAGGTATTCTGCAAGGTGATCACATGCATCTATGTAATTTTCAGATCCTTTCTACGAGCAGGCTATCATGTCCCTATCTGACATGGTGGATGGTACAATGTTCGAAGCCAGGCTGGATGACCTGAGCATCCAGATACTCCCCCAGGGAGTGCTCCCCATCTTTGTTTCCCTGGCACAGGGAAAGGGTCTCCCCTATGGTCTCCTCAGCTCCCCATGAGTTGCAATCGACCACTGGCCTCCATGGCAGCAGACTCTCCTCTTGGCCATTATTTTATTTCCTGGGATCACCACCATGCTTGCCATGGGGCAATGGCCTTCTTGATATGAGCTAATGCGTAAGTGAAGGTTAGAGGTGGTGGGACCTTGGGAAATGTGGTACTGTGTCTGTGTCGTTATTTCTTGGAACCAACCCATACTTTATAGGGCTGTTTGTGAGATAGCATGAAGCCATGCTTGTGAAGCAATTGCTGTTTGCTATTATACTTGGTGCTCCTGCTGGCTCACTGCTACACCCTATCACTAAATAGAAGGTGGTGTGTGGTAAAACACAACCAATATTTACTGAGGGATAGAAAGACCAGAGGGAGGGAGGAAGGATGGAAAGAAGGGACTTTCTTTAATGGACAGAGAAACTGTGGGTGCCTCTTGTGGGCCTTAATGACTTCATCCTGTTTGGCTCTTCCTAGATTGGCATGTGATCTACATGATTAATAATGACAGAATTACAGGTTTCCATGTTAAAAATGAATCTCATGTAAACAACGACTCCTTTTTGAAAATAAAACTACAGTCCACATGATATTTGGGACACAGCTATACTAAGACTCCGTGGTTTATCTGAAGGGCAAGTTCAACTGGATTAGACGTCCATCCTTTATCTTATCTGGCAGCCTTCCATGCATTTTACCCTGAACATACATTTTCATCAAGCCATCCATAACATAAGTGGCAGGTAGCTTGTTGGACTAGAATACATTTCTGCCAGCAGTCTCAAGGTTAGGTGTGCTGTTAAATGCGTACTCTATATTACGAGGTAATGACTATAATTTGAAGTCCTTATGCATTTGAGACTCAATGATTTACTCTCTGTTTAATTTCTAGTCAAGAGCAAGAGACTTTTAAAGGTATATACAAATACATGCTGAAATTGTTTTAGATTTCTTATGTCCTACAAGAGGGGATGGATGCCCAGTTAATACTTCTGAAAGGATTTTAACTGAACATTTGACTTTGCTATCTGGCAGGGTGTTCACAGGATTTAAAGTAGGCACAAGAAAGGAAAAAAACTTCTGGTCAGAATTCATGCCATTTAGAAACATGTGGGTATGGTAAACTCTTGAATATCCCATCATATCCTGAAGTCTTTCTAAAATACCATGTCATTTTTCATATCATAGCTAAGATTAGAATTTCAGATGATAGTAGAACCCTGTGGCTATTTAAAACCATCAAGTTTTCTCTTTTATAATAAATCTTATAAAATTATAAAACAAACTATCCCATGCATAAGTTCTAAGAAGTGGGTGGGGCTTACGTGAATAGCTTTAGTCAAGGGCTCTCTCCTAGATGAGCCAAGCTTCAAGCATCACCTTTCACATATGGGGGCAAACATTTGCAGACTGGAAGAGTTTCCCTCTAAACACAAACATACCCGGCACCCACATTCCCTCTTCAACACACATGGTACACTTTCATTGGATGGTATGACTCCAAACCTCTGACGTCAACCCTGGCTGACATTGCAGCATGGTAGGGAATGCATGAAGACAGAGCTTTGCTATACTATAGAAGGATAGGACTGTCATAAGTTACAAGTATTTATTCTGTACAAGTGTGGACAGATGCAGAAACAGCAATCTTACCCATGGGCGGCTTTTGGATTTACAAGTAGCCTTTGTGTACATTCCCCGAATTACTGGTTGACTTTGACTTCTCTAGGTTCTGACTCGGGGTGAACAAAACCTTCCTTTTTCTCCCATCTCCCTATTTACATATCGCAGTTAATAAATGATTACAGACCTAACAGGTGGAAAATCGACCTTTATTATAGCACAAAATAAACATTGCCTATTTGTTTTCTTCCCTGCGGTTTGGACCCACAATTATTAGATTTGAAACATACATCTCATCTCTAGGTACTTTATGTATCTCCACCTTTTTGTGTTTTTTTTTTTTAAGGACCAGAAGAGCATAATGGCTAATTACATAAAAATTTAAAATGTGATATGGCAAATAAATAGCATGTGGCAGAACCCCGAGCTCACATGTGGGTTCAACAGATGCAAAATAGCTTTCCATTCAATAAGGTGAGATGTACAATCATGCTTGGAAAACCGGAGATGAATCTTCCCGGAACATTGAATTTCCATGATAAAAGCATGCAAACAACAGGGGTGGTCTTCACTGCAGCCCACCCAAATCTGAAGCATGGGTTCCCACCCGGAGGGTGGAGTCTCAAGTCAAGCACTTATTTCCTTCCTTTCCTTTTGACCGTCCTCACACTCAGAACTTCTCTGCCTCTGCCAGACACACTCAGAGCCAGGTCATTCAAGGACCTTTCTCTACTGGGAACCCCCTACCGTCCACACCTGTGGGACTTGACCTGGAAGTCCCCCGTGAAAAGCAAATGCTTTGAGAATAGGGGCTGGCGAGGGCTCATGGGATATGCTATCACCAGCTTTCTATACTTGGTCATGAATTAATTAAGAGCAAATCTGTAACGCTGTGGGCCATAAGCTGGGCTGGAGATACAGAAGCTTTAGTTCATGGTGGGTCCTGTGTTGGGGTGGAGCCCCAGGCAGAGGCCAATCTAAATATGTGTTGGGGTCCCTAGAGTAGGGGAGTGTCATGCTGGAGGGGAGAGAAAAGGAAGCAGAGGAATCCCTCGAGAGAGCTTTGTCCAGCCTTGCCTATGCTCAACATCTGAACACACAATATGTGTCTAATCCGCTAAGGCCTTGGCCTTTGGTCTCTGTCCTTTCTCCTGGAGGTGACATAAGCAACCTGGATACTGGTAACCGTACAAGGCTTGAACTTCTATGATACTTGGAACAAATTCCTTTCTCTTTTTGGTACTGGGGCTTTGCACCTGTCTCTGTTAATGGTGGGCTCGACCCCGAGCTTATCCTAGAGAAAACCAAAAGGTGAGAGAGGAACAAAAGCCTCCTCCATTCTCATCTCCCTGCTCCATGGAGAAGAGTGCACCTCAACTCTCCCCTCAGGGGGTACCTGCTCTTCTGTAGGAACATGAATGTAGGAAGGAAACGGGGAAGAACTGGAAAGGGAACCATTGATAAAAGCCAGCTATAGAATGCGTTCGCTGCAAGAACCGTAAAGATAACCTTAAGCCATTGGTGAACTGACGAAGCTATCTCTGGATATGGCGGGCCCCAGCAAGTCCTCCATCTCCACGCCGGTGCTCACCTCGCCCCCACTCTGCATTAGCACTGCCGTGGGAAGGCAGATGGCAAAATGGAATCTAGTCCTCTTGGAGGTAGGGCTTTAGATTGCTAAGGGACTCTGTGTGTCCCGGGGCTCTGTAAGCAAACACGAGCCTCGTCACTCTTAGATGCACTGTATCCTGCTCCCCCACTAACCTGAAGGACACGGGCAATGGTTGGGACCTACTCAGCATGTTCTGTCTTTTGTAAAAAGCAAGTCTATGCCAGCAAGCTATGGTCCTGCGTGGCCTCGGGAGACACCCGCTGCCTCTAAGCAGACCCATCTCCTCTGAACACGCTCCTCACAAGGCCATGGTCACCATCACCTGGGAGCAAACCCATACCTGCAGAACTATTCTTCGTCCACGTCTGTTACAAACTGAGAGTGGTACTCGGGTGACTTGCTGTGCGTTTTGCTTAGGTGGAGTTTTACCGCATGTTTGCTCACAAATGTCCGACTGCACAACTTACACTTGAATTTAGAGTCTGTGTCCTCTTCTCCAGCTATTGTTTCCGGAGACCTCTGAGCCGACGACACCCTGGAGAGCTCCTGCTCTGCCTTGCTTGTCTGGTCAGCTGCCATCCGGGTCATGTCCTTCATTTGGAAGCCCAGGTGAGACTCTAAGTGGCTGATGTAAGTAGAGGGGGTTCTGAACTGGGATGCACAGTCACTGCAGTAAAAGATGGGGTGCCCTTTGTCCATGTTCTTCAGGAATTTTGTCCCACCGGTTTTTCTAAGCTGGTATTTGACGTTGGCCAGCCAGTGGCTGATCGTGGTCATCGAGAGCCCTGTGAACTTGGAGATCTGCATGCGCTCTTGCGGGCCCAGGTCAGAAAGCAGGTATTTGCCCTCTGACGTCTGGAAGAGGCTCGAGGCAAACTGCGCTTGCAGGATGAGAAGGTGCTGGGGGTTCCAGTTGGACTGCCTGCCCTTTCTTTTGTGCAACGTTGAGACTTCACCGGAAACATCCTCAAAGCGCCTGACATCCATTTCCAACTTCATAGGAGGGACCCTCGAGGAAGCAGCTGGCTTTGGGGTGGTGGCTTTGGGGAGGACCTTGACCATGTCGGCAATGTCACACAGAGCATGCTTCTGAGGTGGGGACGTGCAGGATTGTGCTTGTGAGGACTCGGCTCTCTTGCTTTTGGACTTGGTCAGGTCGATGGGCTGGTCACTGTTCTCAAACAGGTAGTGTCGGGACACACTGGCCGGCCTGGTTGAGGAGGGACTTATGACTGGCTTGTCCACCATGCTGAGACTGGGCTTGTGGAACATGGAGATTGTGCTTGAGTTGGGGCTAGAGCAGGAAGGTGAGCGCAAGGGCTCTGTAGCTTTGCCCAGGTGGTTGTTCAGGACCGACTGCAGGGCGCTGAGTGGGTTGATGCCAGGCAGGGCTGAGGTGTGGTTAGCCGGTGCACATCCATTGCTGAGAGAAGACACTGGTTCTAAGGGCTCTGTTTTCTCTTTCAGCAGCTTCTCTTCCTCCTTCAGGGGACAGGGCTCAGCCTTTCTGGATTCCAAAGGTGCTTCGATTTTGGAGAAACACTCCCCCTCAGACTGGCTGAGAGATGTGGCCTCTTCGTGGGGACTTTCCTTCCCACACTCCTTCACGGCTTCATCTTTGTCTTCTGCCTCCTTCTTAACTTGAGTGTACAGGGCCAGGTTTGTGGGCACAGGGCCAAGCGGCATGACTTTCCATTTGGGTGCGATTGGCCTTAGCTTGTTGGCCAGGTTGGGTCTGATCTGCAGTATCTGAGAGCCCATTGCCATGGGTGGCTTGGCACCCTCTGACAGCTGGTAGGCTGCATGGATACTTGGGTATGCGCTCCAGCTGGGAGCACCATTTTGGGCCTTGTTGATGGCTGTGGTTACAGTATTTTCCAGTGACTTTAGGATGTCCCCACCACCCTTTGAGCCGTCTTCCAAGTCCTCCTCTCTTAGATACTGGTATTTTATGGTGGGGTCGAGAGGTTTCTGTAGAGGGTCTTCATAGTCCTCGCTTTTCATGCCTTGTTCATCTTCATTGACCTCCTCTGCCTTCTCTTTCTTGCTCTCTTTCTTTAACTCAGTGGTAGAGGCTGTGCAGTCAGAGGCGGAGTTACTTGATGGCTTAGGGGCCTGAGACTCGCTGTTTGGGGTCTCAGACAGCGACTGCATTTTCTCCACGGCCAGTGGGTCCAACACCAGCTGCTTCCCTTTCTTGGAGGCAGAGCTGGTAACTTTAAGAAAGTGACCCGTGACCATCATGTGGGTGGTGAGTTGCTGCAAGGTATCATGGGAACTGCCGCACTCCATACACTTTAAGATCTGGGACTTGCAGGCCTCGAACTGCCAGGTGTAGCTGGCTCCGTTTTGGTAGCCATAGCGGCTGTTGGAGGGCAGCTGCAGGCTGGCATTTTTCTGGGAAGAAAATGAATCTGCAAATGACCCTGTGGTTGAGTCAGGGGAGCAAGGCCTGTTGGCATCAAAAACACGTTTCTTGGCTGGTGTGACCATTTTAGAGGAAATGGTTGGTACCGGTTCCTTCAAAGGCACTTTTTGGTAATGTTTTGTCTTTATCATGTGGACGCTCAAATCTTGCAGGGAATCGAAGGAGTCACCACAAAACATACATTTCAGAACCTTTTGTGCGTCCTCCTTGTCCATGTCTTGGAAGGCCCTTTTCCGGGGCTTTGCGTAGCTTGTGGGTCTGAGCTTATCTTTTTTGCGGTTGTCATCTTGATAGTGGCCTGTCTCATTCATGTGCACCGTCAGCTCTACCAGAGTGTCATAGGCTGCGCTGCACTGCCTGCAGCGGAACCTGCTGGCCCCGGTGAACACCGAGCCGCACATCTTACTGCTCTGCCGGTACAGCTGCACGGAGCTGAATAGGCTGGGCTTAGAGACAGAGCGGGAAGGCAAGTTCTGCTGGAGGCTTTTGGACAGGGCATCTTGGTGCCAATCAAAATCATTCTTGTTGCTGCCATTGCGGGTGTCACAACTCCGTCTCTCGCTGTTGGATAATTTGAAGCCGAGGCCCAGGCCTGACCAGTAGGAATCTGAGAGGATATTGGCATAGACAGCCGTCATTTTATCCATGCAGTTATGTGGTTCGCTTGGAAGCTTGGGGAGAGCCTTTGCTTTCTTGTCCGAGGCATCTCGGCCACAGATGCTCTTGATGTCTGACACCTGGTCGCTGGCATCACTCAGAAGAGATTCGTTTTCTGCGTCCTGATTGGACAGGTGACTCCCTGGAGAGTTCTGGCAGCTGAAGTAGCCTTTCTGCTCTGGGACTGTTTCTAGCTCCTCGTCCATCCCAGTGTCATTGCTGCCCTGATGCTGGGCCACTGAACCGCTGTCTTCCTCCTCCTCCTCTTCCTCCTTTATCTCTTCCTCTTCCTTCAGCACTTCCTCCTGGGCATAGCCTGCGAGAGATACAGAGAGATGAGCTAAACATAACGCCTCACAGTCCATCCCCGTGCCCCTGCTTTCCCGGGCTGAACGAACAGCAATTTAATCTATACTTTTGTCAGCTGCAAGCAACAGAAAGAGGGGAAAAGACAAATGGTGTGCTTTTATTTGGGGGCAGGGTCTCATGTAGCCCACGCTGGCCTCAGATTTGCTATGTTGCAGGACACAAACTTTAGTTCCCCTGCCTCTGACGCCCCAGAATGCACCATCACACCTTCAGTTTATGTGGTGCAGGGTTGGACCCGGTTTTTATGCCAGGCAAGCACTATGGCAACTGACTACATCTCCAGGCCCCAGATGATGTCTTTCATGACATCCATTGGCTGTTCCCTTTTAACTGGCAAAGACATCACTCTCTATGAGTGATCACTATCGCAAGTTAACAATTTAGGGATCAAATATCATTCTGATATTACCATAGTGAGGCAGTGGCTAAATTCGCGTGTATGGCTTTTGGGACATCTAGACTGAAATACAAATCCTGTGATTATCACAGTACAGGAGCAGGTTGGCTTATAAGAAAGTTAGTTTGGCCCCTAGCACATCAATGGCAAACTGTCCCAGGATACTTGGGAGTATTGGCATACATGCATCTAAATAGGAACCAGGATGCATAACCATTTAACTTTGGTAGCCTGTGTCTTTCTGTTGTAACATTTTTATTTATAGAGAGTTGCTGGGAGAGAGACCATGGAGTATGCAAATACAATCTCCCACCAATGGCTGAAAAATTATGTAAGCTCAGCAAATACAATGATTTTAGAATAATGGGGAATAGTGTTAGAATGGGAGATTTGGGGGCTAGTCTATTATTCTCATACGGGTTTATGAAGACCTTTCCAGACACGGCTAAAAATACTCTCTCGATCTTGTTCCTGTAATTTCAAACGCACTGTGATTTGTGGGTACCCGTCATGAGATGCCAATTACATAGTTGATTTGTGGATGCAAAATGCTATTGGGGAATGCATGCTTTCCCTTCTCTGAGAGGACTGAGGGCCAGTAATTGCATAGGGAAAATGAAGGCACGAGAGAGCGGGTGCAAAAGAGAATTAATGGACAGATATCCATCAGCGCCAATGGCGAATGTGACTATTTATGCCCATGGGTTCATTTTCTCCACCTGGCCTTTTAGAGTCATGTGGATAAAATGCAACCAAAGATGCCCCCATGCAAAAGAGACGCGGCTCCAAATCTGCAAGGTTAGCATGCTCTTAATGCTATGCTCTCCTCATAAGCATCACTCTCCCTCATGATGGTAGGGGAAAAAAACAAAACAAAACCCCTAGATCAGGTTCTGTTCTTTCTATCCACAAAACTAAAGCTTGGAAGGGAGGTGTTCCCACACTCAAGGCCAGCAGAGAGTTCAAAGAGAAGGGAGTTAGGAAGAAAGAGGCAGTCAGTAGTCAGGGCTATCAAAGTTGTTGCTGTTGATGAAGAATTTTAATTGAGAAATTATTCTCCCCCGGCTCCTAGGTAAATCACTGCAAATGCATTTTGGCATGTGTATGTATATTCACATGTGTGGGGGCATGTGTGCAGCTTTGTGTGGAGATAAGAGATTGATGCAGTTCTCCTCAGAGCCTCTCCTCCTTATACATCGAGGCAGGGTCTCTCCCTTGTGCCCAGAGCTGGCTCATTCAGCTGGTTTATCTATCCAGCTTTCTCTGCGGGTCCCCTGCATCTGCCTCCAGAATGCTGGAGTTATAGGCAGTCTGTCACCTCTGCCAGGCACATATGTGGTTGGATGCTTGCTATCCAAACTCTGGTCCTCACACGTACACAATGACCACTGAGCCGTCTTTCCAGTCAGCAAGCACTGACTGTAAATAGGTCTGGAGACTGAGGCTTACAAAGGAAGAAAGTTGCACGTCCTGCAGGTCCCCACAAAGCCTACTCCTGTTTGTTGAAGGAATCCATTGTTTCACGCAGGACACTCCCCTTTCTTTCTACTGCCAACTTAATGAATACGAAAATCTTCCCAGGGCAGCAGTGAATTTGGTTGATCTCTAAGCAGCTAGAGAGAGGATTGTGGGAATGCTGCAGACAAGGGCCCATGGCTTTGAGGGCAGGAGTCCATAAAACAAGATAAAATGTAAAAGTTCAGCCCGGCCACGAGTTTTATGGTTGTGTTTGTTATTTTATTGTTATTGGTGAGGCAATTTTTTTTTTTTTGCTTCCCCAGCAAGCTGACAAGCAGGTTTTTCATTAAATTGGTGTTGCTGGTCTCTAGTGCCAAAAATTGATTGGAAGAAAGGAAAACTATCCAATCCAGCCAAGCAACCATTAATAAATGGCCACTTCTTCTTGAAAGAAAGCTGCATTTTGAAACAACAGAATGCCCGAATCAGGGTCTTCCGTGCTGTTCACATCTCTTCTCTTCCCCCAGGATTGACTTCCACATTTTAAAGAGGTGTTACATACACTATTACTTTCAAGGAGAAAGTTCTTAAGTGTAAAAAAGAATAGTTTCCTGAGACAAAGATACTTCAAAAATCAGATACATTTTAGCCATCAGATATGGGTCACTTTGTTGCTGCTGTTTCTTTTGAATGTCTCTGTAGTCCCAAACTGGCTGTGAGTTCTCCCAATCCTCCTGACTCAGCCCTGGTAATGCAGGCATCAACCTCCACTCTTGGTGAAATAATCTCATGTTTGTGAGTGAAATCAGGCAAACTTTATGAAGTAAATACAGTCACTTTTGTAAAGGAAATGAGTGTTATGACTCTGGGACAAATACCAAGTAAACAATATTATCCATGCCTGCTCCAGGCTATAACATATTGTCATTGTCACCATGCTATGGGTAGTGTGTTCACACAGAGAAAGAAAAGTATGTACACACACACACACACAGACACACACAGACACACACACACACCATATAAATATATATATCACATATATAACGTATAAATATATATAACATACATATATAACATATAAATATAACACACACACACACACACACACACACACACACACACACACACACTCACACACACACACACACCTACCAACCAATACAGTCATTTTCCAGCAAGGGACAAGAAGTAGTGTTCCTTCCCATTTTTCCTTTTTTCTGCTGACATTTGGTGCTGAGCTTTCTGGACCGGTTCAACCTCACAATCTACTTTGTCCTTCTAAATGGATTCCCCAGAAGAAAAGTCGGAGACAGCACACTCCTCCCCCACAATACAGATAAAATTTTCTGCTTAATTAGGCATTGACATGTTTACTATAACCTTTACAGCAGAGTAACTCGTGCTGAGAGACCCTTTTTGTCTGTTTGCCTCTGCAGAATAGACTAAATCTCAGGCACCGGATAAAATAACACGTTGAAAAGCCTCATAAAAAAAAAAAAAGTGCTGGCGCACCTGTCAAAGGGAGTGTATCTTAACAATGGCTGAGGGTTCCAAGGAGTTTCTCGAAACTGCATTTTAATATTAAACATTTAAAATTGTTCACTTGATCCAAGTGATTTTGTTTGCCACCGGCAGTGGAGGTGAGCGAGGAGAGGCAGCCAGCTAGAATCTGGGTGACTGGGGGTGAATAATGAGGATGTGTCTCTCTCACTACCGATGAGTTGTTTAATGAGTTGGCATCATGTGTGAATCTGGCTATAAGCAGATGAGTGGCAAATTCATTCTTATGAATACTTGCTTAGCAAAAAGAACGATCACAATTATGCCGAGGCGGGGGCAGTGTTGTGAGGGGAGCGACACTATGTAGAACCTTTTTGTTGATATTTCTGGCTTGGAGAGCAAACTAATTTTCTAATTCCACCATTTACCATTGTTTGAATCTGGCCATAAGAAACCTGGCATCTCCAGGACAGTGAACAAATGAACAAACCCTGTCAATTCTTTGTCTCAGTGATGGGCCTGTGAGACCCTTTCTCTTCCATGCTTCCTTCTGCTCCGATGGGCTGCACACTGTCCACTGGGGTAGGATGACGGCCTTCTCACTTCTAATTACTCCAGTCTCCTAGAATGTGCTTCAGTTTTAGACAGATTCTCTCTATATAGCCCAGGCTGGCTTTGAACTTAAAATCCTCTTGTCTTAGCCTCTGGAGTTCTGGAATGACAGGTGTTCACTGGCTCTGTTGCTAGAACGTTCTATGCAAAATGGATCCGGCCAGGAAGTTCCTGTTTTAACTCTGGCAGTGGCTTTGGTACACTTCAAGTGAAATGCAAACTCTTAGGACTAACTATAGGCACCAATATGTTCAGGTGTACCTCTCAGCTCTGTCCTCTGTAGCCACACCCTCCCGGCTCTGCATTCTAAGGAGCAAACCATTAACCTGGTTCTCTGCAATTGCAGATTTCACCCCCAAGAATTCATTCTCTTGGCCTTTTGGACAAGGCCCTTTCTCAAAAAGATACTTTTCCTGGCCAGGTTCTCTTCTTTCTGTAAATTCAACCAGAGCCCACGTCTTAGCCATCCCTGAGCATTGTACTAACAATGGTCCTCTTCCTCAGTTTACTGATAGCTTGGGGCTCTCACTGAACATGGAATTAAAATATCTGCCCCAACAATGCATCTCACAAATTTTGCTTCTTTTAGCCCCAAGTGCCACCCTGGCAGACATGATTACATCTTGTCCACAAATGTCTGAATAAATGAAGGATTGGATGAATAGATTAGATGAGAGCATTACTTTCTCTGCAGCCTCAGGCTACTCAGCAAGAGGACTGGCTCTCTCACGAGCAGTGATCACCTCCTCCAAATAGATCAGGTGTGAGCTACAACCACCTTTATCAATTTACTCAGGGAGACAAGAGCATACCAGGAAGCGTAGCTTCTAGCTAACGGAGCCACCAGCTTTCTTGTTGGCTAACTTTCTGCTGTGTGGGATTGTATTTATGAAGATTGAGACTAGACATCAAGACTAAGGAACATGAACAATTAGGCTCTTAGGATGAGCAGCCTGCTTCAAGAAAGATTCACACATAGGCTGGCTGACACCACGGGCTAATTTTGCCTCTAACGTATGAAGATAAACTCCATCACAGTTCATTGGTGTACACTCATAGACATTAGAGTGATCATCTGAATTCTTTGTGCTTCAACAGTATGTGGGCAATTTTAGAAATAAACCCTTAACTTTTGGGAAATTTTCTCTTATGTTAAAAGTTAAAAAGTATAAATAAAACTACTACCTTGGTTGTTCTAAAAACCTCCAGTAAAAATTGTTTAAATGAGACTG